CCGAGGCGGCCTGCGGGTCGCCAGGGCAATGCCTGCCCTTTGCGTAGGCCCAGGCCTGGACTTCAGATTCCCGCCGTCCTGCTTTTCCCAAGGGCACAAAGCCCCTTCGCCCAGCAAACCCTGCCGCTCCCCCTCGAACGACTCTGTGTCTTTAAGGTGCAACCTGGGAAACAGCCTCACAAACAGAGACTTGCTCGGTCCTGAGAAGCCACGGCCTGAGAGTCAAGAGCATGGCTTGGGGTCCGGGTTCGAGTTAGTGGCCAGAGAGCAGGACTCTTTCTCCCTCAGGGGTCACCTTTCAAAACTGCCCCTGCCCAGCAGGAGCCTCTGCCTAGGACGCGTGGGGCCCTGGGAGGCTCCGCCCAGCGGGCCCGGGGCTGGACCGGAGCGCACAGGAAAGACAGTGCCCAAGCGTTTTACTTCATAAACTCAAAATAAAACGGACAGCTCCGGCTCATCTGACTGATGGAAGGGACAAGCTGCTGAATGAGGTGGCTAAAGCGTCCGATGCCACGTCACTATGCATATTCTTTTTGGTATTTCTTATTCCCTACTTGTTTGTGAGCCACAAGATTTAGCTATAACCATTAGGAGCACAGACAGCAGTGGGCATTTCACAGAATGGAAGATTCTAGTAACAGCACACTTAAGGTAATAGGTCTTTATTAGGCCTTCCTTTGGAATTAAGAAATAAAAAATATTAGCCTGCCATCTTTTAGGATTAAAATTTAGCCTGCCGTCACTTGGCCTGGGTAGGAACACCACTCAGGCAGTGGCTGACGCCACCTTGAACGGCTGGAAGTCAGAAGACCAAAGGTCTAGTCTGGTTCTGTGTAAACGTAGGCAAGTTATTCCACTTCTATGTGACTCAGTTTCCTCAAAAAAAAAAAAAAAAAAAAGAAAAGACTGGCACTGACCTTTCCCGGGGAACAGTGTGTAACGTTAGAATATGCTCCAAGAAAGACGACAGAACATCAGACAGTGAGCTGACCCAGTGTTGTTGAGACAGGACAAGGGGGAGACAGCAGAAAGAGAACACAAAGCCAGTTGCAGAAGAGAAAAGGTGAGCTTTCCAATGACAACCTCACATCCTTTATAAAAAAAAAAAAGGATCAGGTGCGAACCAGGGGCCTTAGCAGGAGTGCCATGGCAATGAGTCCCGGGAATTCTAGCAGCCTTTTCTACAACTGGTGCTGGACAACTGGACAGCCACCCGCAAAAGAACAAAGTCAGGTCCCTACCCCACGCCGTCTGCAGGCATCCCTTGGAGGCACTGTGGGTTTGGCTCCAGGCCACTGCAAGAAAGCTGGTATCATAAGAAAGCAAGTCATAGGAGTTTTGCTGGCAGAGGGTCTTGCCTTCAATTTGTAAAAAATATAACATCTGCCCTAACCGGTTTGGCTCAGTGGATAGAGCGTCAGCCTGCGGACTCAAGGGTCCCAAGTTCGATTCCGGTCAAGGGCATGTACCTTGGTTGCGGACACATCCCCAGTAGGGGGTGTGCAGGAGGCAGCTGATCGATGTTTCTCTCTCATCGATGTTTCTAACTCTCTGTCCCTCTCCCTTCCTCTCTGTAAAAAAATCAATAAAATATATTTAAAAGAAAAAGATCTTCTGATTAAAAAAAAAAGTAACATCTGTGAAGTGCACCCAAACTAGCTACACTTGCACAAAAACTAGCTCAAAATGAATCAAAGATCATTGTGAAAACTAAACAGTAAGACTTCTTAGAAGGAAATATAAACATAAATCTCCTTGACCTTGGGTTAGGCAATGGTTTCTTAAATTTGACACCAAAAGCACAAACAATGAAAGAACAAATGGTCAGGCCTGGCCAGGTAGTTCAGCTGCTGTCCTGACACGCCAAGGTGGCAGGCTCAGTCCCCGATCAGGCACATACAAGAACCAATAAATGCATAAATTAAGTGGAGCAACGAATCACTGTCCGCGCCCCCCCCCCTCCATTATTTTCTCTTTAAAATCAATTTTTTAAAAAAGAAAAGAAAAAATGGGTAGTCTTGCATTTCATCAAATTGAAAGAACAACATCAAGGAAGTGAAGACAACCCACAAGATGGGAGAAAATGTTTCCAAATCATCTGTCTAATAAAGGACCTGTATCTAGAATATGCAAAGCACTCATATAACTCAATAATAAAAAGACAAATAAGCCAATTAAAAACGGGCAAAGGATAAACATTTCTCCAAAGATATACAAATCGCCAATAAGCACATGAAAAAAAAACGCTCAACATCATTAGCCATCAGGGAAATGAAATCAAAACCACAATGAGATCACTTCACACCCACTAGGATGCTCTCATCAAAAAGACACAGGCGATAGCAAGTGTGTGGAGAAAGCAGAACCCTCACCCACCGCTGACGGGAAAACGCTGAGCTGCTCTGGAAAACAGTCCAGCAGTTACTCAGAAAGCTAAACATAGTTACTACATCGCCCAGCAACTCAACTCTGATGTATATTCCCAAGAAAAATAAAAACGTGTGGACATTGTCAAAACCGGTTTGGCTCAGTGGATAGAGCGTCGGCCTGCGGACTGAGAGGTCCCAGGTTCGATTCCGGTCGGGGGCATGTGCCTGGGTTGCGGGCATATCCCCAGTGGGAGGTGTGCAGGAGGCAGCTGATCGATGATTCTCTCTCATCGATGTTTCTAACTCTCTATCTCTCTCCCTTCCTCTCTGTAAAGAATCAATAAAATATATTAAAACAAAAACAAAAACAAAAAAAACTTGTGGACATAAAACTTGTACAAGTATGTTTATAGCAGCATTTTTCATAACAGCCAAAAAGTGGAAACAACTCAAACGTCCATCAAGTGATAAACGGATAAACAAAATGCAGTCTATCTGCTGAATGAACTATGACTCAGCTAAAAAAAGGACTGAAGTACTGATACACGTTCAGTATGGATGACCCTAGAAAGCAATATGCTAAGTCGAAGAAGCTTGTCACAAAAGACTACAAATTGTCTGATTCCATCTACGTATAAAATGCCCCAAATAGGCGAAGCTTGATAAAAAGTAGACGCTGCCCAGGACCAGGGGAGGTAGGAGGAAAGTGGGAACGTGACTGCTAAAGGTACAGGGTTTCTTTGGAGGGAGGGTATGAAAATGTTCTAAAACTGATTAAGGTCATTCTATGAACTTACCAAAAACCATTTAATTGTACACTGTAAGTGGGTAAACGGTATGGTCAGTGAATTGTGTCTCAATAAAGCTGTTATTGGCTCCTTCTTCCCCCAAAAAAGGAAAGGGAAGCAGGAACCTGTCTTTCCGCTGTAGGAGTACCACACCTGCTGTGCCAACATGATTACTACATCATCCCATTCTCTCTCCAAATGCCCTGGCTGGCAGATAAATGTGCGTCACCCCCGTCACTGTGTTATCAGGAGCTGGTTGTGCCCCCTGGGCTTCAGTTTCCCCATCTGTAAACCAGGCTCCCCCCAGTTCTGGCCACCTCTGACCCGGCACTATATCCCAAAAGCTCCACTCTAGAAGCTGTAAAATCCCGCTCAGTCGGCCGTAGGTGCATCATGCTTTGGAAGATGAATCTAAATTAGCAAAGAGTTGAAGCCCTGGGCCAGCATTAACTACTGGATCCCAGGAAACAGAGGCAAGACAAAGAGGAATTCCTTAGTGCACCAGTAACTGACATTCAAATTCCTCCGACGCCACTAAGAAAGGTGATCCGATCACAGCAACGAGGGGAAAACGCTCTAACCACATCCCCTACAAATGAAAAAAGATCAGCATTTCCTGTGAGGGGCCCTCACAGAAAACACGATATCCTTAGGGAACATGCCAGGTTTGGCAGCAGGTAGCCGAGTCTTCTCTAAATGGGATTTGGTGAGGCACTCAAGAGGGCTAGGTATTGTGATGGCCAAGGTCACCTGATCACATGATGCACAAAATACCACGTGCGGGCGCGTATGTATGGTGCGATTGAAACTTCGTGGCCCATGTGCAGAAGTCGGTATTTTGTGGAAGAGCTGGTATTTTGTGGAAGAGCCACACTGAAGGGGCCAAAGAGCCGCATGTGGCTCGCGAGCCACAGTTTGCCAACCACTGTCCTAGTCCTCCTCACCCACGACTGCTGAGAAATAATATCACACACCACAGGAACTCAACAGGAGTTATTTTGTTCTCATCCCTTTTACACTCGTGAGAATGAGCCTAAAAATAGCCTTTCTACCCACTCCCCACCCTCCCGGGCCTTGGTCTGTGTGGCAGGTCCCACACGCATATGTGGTGTCGGCCCACCTACGCAGAGAGGTGCCCCATCTCAGGGCTTTGTGATAGCAGATCCTTAGGAACAAGGTAAAGTGAAAGAAGGCACGGAGTACACCCCACTCCCATCAACCCACCCAAGAGCAGGACAGGCAGCTGCTCACCAGGACCTTCGACAACGGAAATGAACACGAAGACAGATGATGGTGGCAAATCGCCCCCATCTAGTCAGCAGTCCTGGCCATGGAGCCAGTTACCAGAGAAGAAGGCGAAGGTTGGGGCAGAGCTTTGCCTGGCGGCAGGGGAGTGGTCAGAAGGAACCAACACATTGGCCACAAGACAGCCATGAACTTGCCTCCAACTAGGAGAGCAAGGCGTTTCAGACCAGACGCCCCCGCTCACCGCTGTCAGCCTCTTTAGAGAGGCAGGCGCGGGGAAAGGACCAAGGAACCATTCAAAAGCTGGAGGCCCAGAGCAAGGGAGAGAGGAGCCGGGGGGATCTGCATGCAGAGGTCTGTGTGGGTGTCTGCTGGCTGCTGGTGGGATCTGCATGCAGAGGTCTGCGTGGGTTTCTGCCAGTGGGATCTGCATACAGAGGTCTGCGTGGGTTTCTGCTGGCTGCTGGTGGGATCTGCATACAGAGGTCTGCGTGGGTTTCTGCTGGCTGCTGGTGGGATCTGCATGCAGAGGTCTGCGTGGGTTTCTGCTGGCTGCTGGTGGGATCTGCATGCAGAGGTCTGCGTGGGTTTCTGCTGGCTGCTGGTGGGATCTGCATGCAGAGGTCTGCGTGGGTTTCTGCCGGTGGGATCTGCATGCAGAGGTCTGTGTGGGTTTCTGCCGGTGGGATCTGCATGCAGAAGTCTGTGTGGGTTTCTGCCGGTGGGATCTACATACAGAGGTCTGAGTGGGTTTCTGCCGGTGGGATCTGCATGCAGAGGTCTGCGTGGGTTTCTGCTGGTGGGATCTGCATGCAGAGGTCTGCGTGGGTTTCTGCTGGTGGGATCTGCATGCAGAGGTCTGCGTGGGTTTCTGCTGGCTGCTGGTGGGATCTGCATACAGAGGTCTGTGTGGGTTTCTGCCGGTGGGATCTACATACAGAGGTCTGCGTGGGTTTCTGCCGGTGGGATCTGCATGCAGAGGTCTGCGTGGGTTTCTGCCGGTGGGATCTGCATGCAGAGGTCTGCGTGGGTTTCTGCTGGTGGGATCTGCATGCAGAGGTCTGCGTGGGTTTCTGCTGGTGGGATCTGCATGCAGAGGTCTGCGTGGGTTTCTGCTGGTGGGATCTGCATGCAGAGGTCTGCGTGGGTTTCTGCTGGCTGCTGGTGGGATCTGCATACAGAGGTCTGTGTGGGTTTCTGCTGGTGGGATCTGCATGCAGAGGTCTGCGTGGGTTTCTGCTGGTGGGATCTGCATGCAGAGGTCTGCGTGGGTTTCTGCTGGCTGCTGGTGGGATCTGCATGCAGAGGTCTGCGTGGGTGTCTGCTGGCTGCTGGTGGGATCTGCATGCAGAGGTCTGCGTGGGTGTCTGCTGGTGGGATCTGCATGCAGAGGTCTGCGTGGGTGTCTGCTGGCTGCTGGTGGGATCTGCATGCAGAGGTCTGCGTGGGTGTCTGCTGGCTGCTGGTGGGATCTGCATGCAGAGGTCTGCGTGGGTTTCTGCCGGTGGGATCTGCATGCAGAGGTCTGCGTGGGTTTCTGCCGGTGGGATCTGCATGCAGAGGTCTGTGTGGGTTTCTGCCGGTGGGATCTGCATGCAGAGGTCTGTGTGGGTTTCTGCCGGTGGGATCTGCATGCAGAGGTCTGCGTGGGTTTCTGCCGGTGGGATCTGCATGCAGAGGTCTGTGTGGGTTTCTGCTGGTGGGATCTGCATGCAGAGGTCTGCGTGGGTTTCTGCCGGTGGGATCTGCATGCAGAGGTCTGTGTGGGTTTCTGCCGGTGGGATCTGCATGCAGAGGTCTGTGTGGGTTTCTGCCGGTGGGATCTGCATGCAGAGGTCTGTGTGGGTTTCTGCCGGTGGGATCTGCATGCAGAGGTCTGCGTGGGTTTCTGCCGGTGGGATCTGCATGCAGAGGTCTGTGTGGGTTTCTGCCGGTGGGATCTGCATGCAGAGGTCTGTGTGGGTTTCTGCTGGTGGGATCTGCATGCAGAGGTCTGTGTGGGTTTCTGCTGGCTGCTGGTGGGATCTGCATACAGAGGTCTGTGTGGGTTTCTGCCGGTGGGATCTGCATGCAGAGGTCTGCGTGGGTTTCTGCCGGTGGGATCTGCATGCAGAGGTCTGCGTGGGTGTCTGTTGGCTGCCGGTGTGCAGCTTTCTTAGATCAGCAAGGTCCCTTCTAGCCAGAAAGGCTGCAGCTTCCGATGGTGAATTCCTATATCCAAGGGGGTCCACGGGGCTGGGAGGTGGAGGCAGCTGCCGCTCCATGCTGCTCAGAGGCCACATTTCAGGATGATGTGGTAGCCATCGCTGCTTTCCGCTGCAAGAGGGAAACACTGGGCATTTTTCAGGAAAAAGGCACCCTGGCATGAGGGAGTCACGGGTGGCATGGAATAGGTCGCCACGGCAGCCCCATCACGAATGTTGGCGAGGCCACAAAATCAGGCTGCACTGACAGAAGCAGATACCTCCACACATGCCTTCCCGTCTGTCTGACAACGGACCTTCCCACCTCAGCTCCGGGCCAAGGACCAAAAGACCCACATCCAAGGAGGCTCTGCACACACTGTTTCTAGGTGAACGGCCTCAGGGCCGTCACGAAGCAGCATCATTCTGATGGACTCCACACACACACTGCCTTTCCTTCTGGCCCATGAGCTCGACTCCTTCCTCAGGAGGGCCCTTCATACCCCGCCCCCCGCGTCCCCAACCCACCAGACCCAGCTGCCGTATTCCATGCTCACTTTCCCTAGAGCCCGAGGTTTAGAAAAACTCAAACGCATCTTCTGTCCACCTGACACTGAGTCTGTGGGGAACACACTGTCTGGCCAGGACTTCCCTTTCAGAAGGGACTCTGGGGCCAGTCTCACGGATCCTCACCCGCCAGGGCAGGCTTCCCGGGAAGTTTGTGCTTCTCCTTCCCCGAGGCCGTCCCCAGGTAACATCCTCTAGAGGGGACAGTGCACAGGCAGCCCCACTCTCTCAGCATGCTACCCTGGGGGTGCAGCCATCATACTTCAACTAAGCGAAAACAGCTGGTGGGGACTTTACCTTTTAAGGTGCTGAGGACAAAACAGGACTCATCCTGGAAATTCTGCACCATCTGAAAGGCAAGAGAGAGACCATGTCCCTTCAACCAGGAGCTCAATAGGAAAGCCTCAGGCGTAGGAGCCCAGAGCCCGGACTACATTTTTGCTCGCTTTTGTTTTGCTGCTTCCCAGTTACTGGGTCTTCCAGCCCCTATCACAGACACAATACGGGAGCCTGTATGTATATAGTAGCAAAAGATAAAAAAAATAGTGTGCTTTAAGAACCTGGGTAATTAGCAGGTTCTGATTGTGAGTCCTAGGAGGGCCAAGTACAGGAGTGGGCAACAAACAGTAGGTTTACAGTTTTGAGTACGTGAAACACATCTATAATAATAAAGGGTAATATGCTAATGAGACCGGACGTCATTCCAGATATCCTTCCTGACGAAGCCGGGGGCCAGCAGCCAGGGGAAGGAAGGCCTACTCGTGCACGAATTTTCATGCACCGGGCCTCAGTCCTATATAATAAAAGCCTAATATGCTAACAATATGCTAAGGCCACTCAACCGCTCGCTATGACGTGCACTGACCACTAGGGGGAAGGCACTCTGACCGGTAGGTTAGCTTGCTGCTGAGGTCCAGCTGATCAGGACTTAGTGAGATGGGCTGGACACGCCCTGGAGCCCTCCCACGGTCCCTCCCCAGCTGGCCAACCTCTCGCGTCCCTTCCCAGCCCTGATCGTGCACCAGGCATCTAGTAGTTAATAAAGCTACTGTAATAATCATAACCTGCATGTTTTTTTCCATAATGTGAATGAAAAAGGAGCCCCTTGCTAACCTGACAAGCTAGGGGAGGCCTGCGTGAGGCCTTACAAACTCAGACTTGAAGTGACCGCAGAGGATGGTCTGAAATGAAAACTTCCCAACTGCAAGAGGTCATGGCGGGCATCATGCCCTAGGCTGGCACTGCTCCCTGACAAAGGCCAGTCTTCACCTTACCTGAGCCTGTCTGCTATCTAGTGTTGCATCTAGGATAACATACCTAATAACATGCCTTTGGAATGTCAACGTAATTTCCTCTTTAGCAGGGCCCTCAAAGCACAGCCTCCCCAGAGCAGAGACCACAGATCCCCTCATTGTCATTGTTATTGTGATAGTTGTTGACTGTTCATTACCTTATATCCACCAATGTAAAAGAAGTGTCTATTCCTTTTACTTTTCACCCAATCCCAGAGATTTCTCTGCTTTGCCTTCTCCCACCTCCCTAATCGATCACCAATGAACTTCATGTAACCCTCTTACACCTTCTCCTTTGACTGTAATGTATAAAATAAAGGTGCAGAGGAGGACCAAGATGGCAGCGTAGGTAAAGGCCAGCACTCGCCACCTCCCACAACCACATCAAAATTACAATTAAAATACAGAACACCATCATTCAGAACAGCCTGAAAGCTGGCTGAATGGCAGCTCTACAACTAGAGAAGTAAAGAAGAAAGCACATCGAGACTGAGAGGAGGGATGGAAGCACGGAGGCACAGAAAGGGCTGGGCCAACACCCATGTGTAGCCTTTTTCTAATTGGGAGAGATATCATGGCTATGGAGGCCTCCTGTGAGGAGCAAGGGGTCCCAGCCACACACCAGCCCCCCAGCCCAGAGTTCCAGTGCTGGGAAGAGCAGTCCTTATAACTTCAGGCTGTAAAAGCCAGTGGGGATTGTGGCTGAGTGACATGGAGGCAGTTGGAGTGCCAGGGAGTTCTTCTTAAAGGGCCAGCACATGGACTTACCCAAACTCCATCCCTCTGGGCTCCAACACTGGAGTGGCGGCTTGAAAGGAACGTGAGACATTAGGGAAGGAACTGGATTGTCTGGCATCGGGGCAAGAACCTGGGGGTGGCTTTCTTCCAGATGGGGGCACTCACGAGGGTCATTGTTCCTATGCTGGGACCTCCCCTATCCCAGAGCTGACTGACAGCCATCATCTTGGCTCACAGGGAAAATTTCCATAAGCTTGGTTCACACTGTTTGCTCCATCCTGATGATTCCCTGAGACCACACCCCATCCAATTTGCAGCCCCACTGATGCTATTTGCATTGGCTTTTCCATATATATGGCCTGTCCAGGTTCAGGCTTCAGACTTTCCTAAAATCTCTTAAACAAGAAGCAGCTAACATCAATAAGAGAATTAAGACCCAGCACTAGCACCAGCCTGCCTTGCTTCACAGTTGGGTGCACTTGGTCACTTCCAATCCCAACACAAGTAGTAACCATCTGCAGATCTCTCTGAAGCTCCTGCCCCAGGCAGTGGCTGACTTTGCAACTCCTGGGAGGCCTCAGAGCCAGTGCACGACGTGGATAGCTTCAGATCATACCAGATCACAACTCTACACATTCACAAGTGACACACTCAAGGGGAAGGCACAATGCGCACCAAAACCCCACTGAAGCAAGTCCCACTCCATAGAGGTGTCTCTTGCACAGCAGCTCTTTCACTGTAGTTGCCACTGGCGTGGGGGTCAAGTACTCCCAGTGACACCAACAGCAATCAAAGCTCAACTACAATAAGACAGTGTACATAGCCCACACGAGGGCGCACCTAGAGTGCCCAGCTGAGAAGACTGGGGAGGTTGAGCCACTGGGGCCTACAGAACACCTACTCCACAAGGTCACTCTACCAACTCAGGAGACACAGCAGCTCTACCTAATACATAGAAACAAACACAGGAAGCAGCCAAAATGTGGAGACTAAGAAACATGTCACAAACAAAAGAAATGGAAGCAAGCAAACTACTGGATACAGAGTTCACAACAATGGTTGAACAACAATGGTTATAAGGTTGTTCAAGGACCTTAATAAGAGCTTCAAGGGAATTAATGGGAGCTTCAAGGGACTTACTGAGAATTTCAAAGACATGAAAAAGGACCAGTGAGAAATTCAGCATACATTTACTGAAATAAAGAATAATTTACAGGGATGCAGTAGTATAGGATTCTGAGAATCAAATCAACGATTTGGAATATGAGGAAGGAAAAAACACCCAATCAGAAGAGCAAAAAGAATAAAGAATCCAAAAATATGAAAATAGTATAAGGAGCCTCTGGGACAACGTCAAGCATAACAACATTAGCATAATGGGGATGCCAGAAGAAAAGACAGAGCAAGATATTGAAAACTTATTTGAAGAAATAATGACAGAAAACTTCCCCTACCTGGTGAAAGAAACAGACTTACAAGTCCAGGAAGCACAGAGAACCCCAAACAAGAGGAACCCAAAGAAACTCACACCCAGACACATCATAATTAAAATGCCAAGAAACAATCTTAAAAGCAGCAAGAGAAAAGCAATTAGTTACCTACAAAGGGGCGCCTATACGACTGTCAGCTGATTTCTCAACAGAAAGTTTGCAGGCCAGAAGGAAGTGGCAAGAAATATTCAAAATGATGAATAGCAAGGACCTACAACCAAGATTACTCTACCCAGCAAAGCTATCATTTAGAATTGAAGGTCAGATAGAGTTTCAAAGACAAGAAAAAGCTGAAGGAGTTCACCACCAAAAAACCAGTATTACATGAAATGTTAAACAGCATTCTTTAGAAGAGGAAGACAGAAGGAAGAAGAAAGGGGAAAGAAGGAAAAAGAAGGAGAAGAGATAAAAATATGAACAATAGAGTGGCAATAAATACATATCAACAACTGAATCTAAATCAAAATAAACAAGAAATTTAATGAACAAAATAAACTGATGAATAAAATAGAACAGAGGCATGGAAACATGGAACAGACTGATGAATTTCAGAGGGAAGGGGGAAAAGAGGATGGGAAGAGAATAACCAAAAATGTTCTATGCATATATGCATTACCTATGACACAGACAATAGGGTGGTGAAGGCCTGGGGCGGGGCAGGAACTGGGTGGAGGGAGGCACTGGGGGGAAAAAGAGGGGGGACACCTGTAATACACTCAACAATAAAGCCTTCAAAACAAAAACAGGAAGCAAATCAGATGTCCTGACAGGTACATGTATAAACAAACTGGTATATCCATAAAGGGGAGCATTATCCTATCTAATAAAAGAGAAACATGGTAATTGGCGTACGACCGCTACCCTTCCCATTGGCTAATAAGGTCAATATGCAAATTAACTGCCAGCCAAGATGGCGGCCAGCAGCCAGGCAGCTTGAAACTAACATGAGGCTTGCTTGCTTCAGTGACGGAGGACTCCAACATTCCACACCTGCCACTGCAGGCCTCTGAGCTGCAACTCTAAGCAACTATGTAACAAATATAGAAGCTAAACAAAACCCCAGAAACCTGCTTTAGTCCGCCAAGCTTCAGCCAGTGGGATCGCAACATTGTAAGCAAAGGCCAGAAACCTACTTTCAGCAGCAGAGGCCTAAGAGCTGGAGCCAAGCCTCAAAGCTAAAGCTGGCCCAGAATAAAAAAGAAAGAAAGAAAGAAAGGAGCGGTTGGGAGCTTCAGTCACCACCAGCCTGAAAACAGCCCTCAGCCCCTCACCCAGACTGGCCAGGAACCCCAGTGGGGACCCCCACCCTGAAGGGTGTGTGACCAGCTGCAAACAGCCATCATCCCCTCACCCAGGCTGGCCAGGCACCCCAGTGGGGACCCCCACCCTGATCCAGGACACCCTTCAGGGCATACCAGCCGGCCCCCACCCGTGCACCAGGCCTCTATGCTATATAGTAAAAGGGTAATATGCCTCCCGGGATATTACCCTTTTACCGGCAGCACCGGGATCAGCGGAGCCGCGAGGCCTCCCGGCACCGGGATCAGCGTGACAGGGGGCGGGGCCACAACCTCCCTATCCACCCTGCTCTGTTCGTGACAGGGGAAGACGCCCCAACCCCCTGATCAGCCCTGCTCTGTGCCTGATAGGGGGGAGCTCCCCAACCCCCTGATTGCCCTGCGGCTCTGTGTGTGACAGGGTGTGGCGCCCCAACCCCCTGATCAGCCCTGCTCTGTGTGTGACAGGGTGTGGCGCCCCAACCCTCCCCGCCACGGGCCCTGCTCTGTGTGTGACGGGGTAAAGCCATAACCTCCCCATCGGCCCTGCCT